TTCAAACTCTATTCCACAATGCCTGTCTATTATGTGAGGAGCAAACAACCATAGATATAAAACAAACATGTAGCTTTTACATTCCAACCAGGAGTTTAAAATTGTTAAATGAACTGTTTCTACAAATGTTAAAAAAAGACTGTCTACGGATGTATATTTAGAAAAAAGTGAAAACTTGAGATGGCTCAGCATTAAGAGCTGTATTGAGGCTAGGCACGGCGGCACATGCCTTTATCTCCAGCAAACTGGAGGCAAAGCCAGAGGGACCTCTGTGAGGTTGAGATCAGCTATGCAACTTGATCTATATAGCAAGTTACAAGACAGCCAGGGTTGCATAGAGAGACTTTGTCTCAATCAACAAAATAGAGTGTTCTTGGAGAGGACCATGTGAGGTGGCTCACAAACCACCTATAACTTCAACTTCATGAGAATCTAATGTGTCTCATCTCCATAGTAACCTGACGCATATATGCATGCACACACACACATACATGCAATTGAAAATAATAAAAACAAGTCTTTTTAAAAAGCAAAAGCTTATTTCATCTAAAGTATTTTAAAGCTTCTACTACCTTAAACAGATATTCAAGAGTGATACAATGCAACATTTAAAAAAAAATTAAATTCCCAAAGGTACCCATCAAATTTAAGACTTGTGATAAAGATCACAAAAACTGGGGCAACTGAAAGATCATACCAACGGACGCTTTTATCTAAAGCATTAAATTTGTATAAATAGCTGAATTTTCTTCAACTATCACTTTTGAAAACATTTCTGGCTATATTTTGAGTAAACATAAAAATACGAGTTGTGACAATTCTATCATTTTACTACTAAGGTCTATGAAAATAATGGATATTTTAAATCATTTTCCATTTTTTATTTAGTAGTAAATAAGGGCAATTTTAACAAAGACACAAAGAATATATTTTAGTGAACTTTTCTAAGCTATATTTAGCATCTTAATTCCCAAATATTTGGTGATGATGAATGTAGCACCATTTGGAGAAGGAAGGGTGCAAATATGATAAAGGGATTTACAAAATATTTAAATCAGATGAGCCTTTGCATTGATACACTGAAAAGCCAAAAGAAAAACAGGATTATACTTTTAAAATTTTAAATTCAATACCATATTTTACAAAATCATGACAAAAGTCCATGTAATTACCATTTAAGCTTCAGTGTAAATATAAAATGTTAGTACTGAAGCCAAAAAGACTACTATGACACTAAGATTTTCTAAGAAACATCAGAGCATTTATCTACACACAAGGACGTCAGTGCTCTCTCACTCATGCTGTGCGTGCTGGGGTATCTGCACCTGCTACACAGAACATGGGCAAGTGCCATCTATTTCCTAGAGCTACGGTAAAAATTAAAAAAGAACATACATGAAAAAGTCCTCTAAAATTGTAGGAAACTAGAAAGGAATGCATAATACTATGCAAAATAATAGCCGTTACCATAAAATGATGACTGTCTAATGCTCCTAAAGGGTGCTTCCAGCCTTCCACTTCCCAACTATATAAAGAACCAAGAAGTATGTACAACACAAGATGGCAAAAAAGTCCTAAATCCTAAAAAACACTACTTAACAAAAGTGAAGCCAATTGACAATAATATTTTCTTGTAGAAAACAAGATATAAATTTTTGTTTTACAGAATATAAAGTATTGCTAGCACTGAAAGTCTATGTCATCCTAGTATTGAGTTTTGTAAAAAGCATGCATGCAGTGACAGACGGTGGCCAGAAGAGGGCTTCAGGTCACCTAGAGTTACAGACAGTTATGAGCTGCCATGTGGATTCAAGGAAAGGAACCTAGGTTCTCTGGAACAGCCAATGCCATCTCATCGACCCCTAAATTTCAAATTTTTAAAATAAAAATGTACTCTTTAGGAGATATGGTCATTAAATTGTAAGGACATAAGGAAGTACTAAGCATGTCATTTCTTTCTCACCCATGTAAGAAATCTCTACTTGTCTGAACTATAGAACTATAATCTGTCTACCTAACATCCTTATTTTTCTACTCTGGCTACCAAATTTTAAGGCCATGTCAATTAGTTGCCATTCTTTCTTTCTGTAAATTGCATATACAAATCTTAAGTTTCTAAAACTCATCCTGATACCTATTTTAAAGCACTATCTTGTCCATTCCAGCTTACCTGTTTCTTTAGAGTTTCTGACTAAAAGGGCATCAAAGTCTACTGATTTTGGCCTAACTGGCAATTGTTCAGGATCTAGCTTTGGTTTTGATACTGGCTCAGTTTCAATCTTCGAAGAAATTGTAGAAATTTCTCCATTAATTCTGAAATGAGAAAAACAAACATGCAAAAATCACTTGAAGGTAAACTAGAACTCTTTAGTGATAAAAAGCATTAAAGATTTTGTATAACATAATACTAATTTCTATCTGTTCTGTAAAGCTATGCATAAACACAGGCTTCTAATCCTAAGACTGACCACAACAAAATCAGAAATGCAGAAACAGTTTGAGTGAATTCATTTACTCTGAATATTAAATTAACATTTAAAGAATTAATAGTCTACAAAGAAAGAAGTATATGGAAAACAGATACTTAAGCTTAGAAAGGCAACAGAGCCCTTCAGGTTAAAGGAGAGAAATCAACACCTAATTTTAAGTGGAGTTAAAGCTTACTTGGCTGTTGGAGGTGGAGGAGGAACTGGTTTGTCTGGTCGCTTTGGGTACACTGTTCCAGGAGATCGCAATAAATTATTGGCTTTGGTAGGTGGAGTGGGCTTTTTGGGTGGGACTTGAGGTGCAGCTGGTTTACAAGGTTTCTGTTCCAGCAGAGACTTTTCATCTGATGAATAAAAAATACTTATTAACAATCAAAACTATTTACAGTTTTTTTAAGGCAGAAATCATTATTAGCTTTCACGTTCTATGTGTATAAGCACACATTGTTTGAAGATTGTACTTTTAAAAAATTACCCAGTAGAGCCAGGACTCATTAAAAACCTGATTACAAATAACACATGCTTTTTGTTATGCTTCCAGTAACTTTTGCTTGCTATTAGGGGTGGTAATGCTATTTTAATGAAATAGTTATTTGTTATTTGATAAAAATGCTTAAAAAACAGTATTATGAAAAATTATATGCCACATTCATTAAAAAACAACTTCACCAGCTTAAAAGGCACCAAACACTTATGGTCCTACATATAGCATATTCACTTCCTATTTTTCAAGTACTACACACAAATACTTAAAAAGCATCTATGCTTAGATAGTTCTGATCCACACAGTGGTGTGACAGACACAATTAAAAAATAATAAACTCAGAACAAACGCCAACTATTTGTCTTCAAAAATAATGTATATAAAAGTCTACAAATAGTTTTATGAAATTTCCTCTTAGTCAGAAACTAGTGAATATTAAACTTGAACCAATATCACAAGACAAAGCACCTCCTTTAAAATTACAAATTTCACTTTAAAATTTAAAAAAATATAAAAAACACAGGGGCTGGAGAGAAGACTCAGCAGTTAAGGGCACTGGCTGCTCTTGCATAGGACCCAGATTCAGTTCCCAGAACCTACATAATAACTCACTGTCTGATTCCAGATCCAGTGATCTAACGCCCTCCTGTGGCCTCCTTGATAGCAGGCCTGTGTATGGTACACATACATGCAGGTAAACACTTAAGGATTACTGCCTATATTCTATCATGTATGTAATTACCCCCTTAGAGTGTATGAAAAAATAGCAGTCTGTTAAAGTACTGATCATTATGCAAGACAAAAGTCTGTTGTTTTTGTTTTTAAGACAAGATTTCTCTATGCAGTCCTTGACTGTCCTGGAACTCACTATGTAGACAAGGGTGCACTTAAGCTCACAGAGAGCCTCCTGCCTCTACCTCCCGAGTGCTGGGATTGTAGGCATGTGCCACCATGCCTGGCTAAAAGTCCATTTTCACACGGCGTCAAAATATAGCAATATATCACATACCTATACTACCAGGAGAAAAGTACAAAACTTCCTATTTCTGTCCATAATCAAGTAGAGCCCTTATAGAGCTGTAACAGCTAACTAAATCTGAATTTCTAGAACAAATTAAGAACTATTTCATAGAAGATAGCATATAGCACTCTTTGCTTAGCACAGCTCTCCCTCTAGCCCACTCCCATCCTTAGGAGTCTTTCTCCTGTCTTAATAGACTGTCCTATCCTATTTCGAATCCTGTATTCCTGATGCAATCCTGTGCTCTGGGACACAATAGTCTGGGATTGGTTGAAGTCTGGGACTGGTTGCCTTCTGAACTCAGATCTGCAGCTCTGAACTAAGCATGTTTCCCCTGGCATTCTGATTTTCCTCAACGTTCCTCTCACCTCCAAATCTAACTTAAATGGCATGACTTATTTTATACCTCCCCTCTTCCTGGCAGCTGTCAAGATTCACAGCATTCAGGCAAAACCTCCTAATAATCCCAAAGCAAATCCCCAAGTGCTCCTTTTGGGCAGAACCCCATACTCAGGTACTCTGCACAACTGACTTAGCATCCTAAAGGCCTATGGCTGTGTCTTCAACTCTGCAAGAGCATCAGGTTCTGACTGACTTCTTTCCTACTGCCTATACGGTGCCTTTAGAACAGGCTAAGAATCTAAACAAAACTCAAAACAGATCATAGATCTAAACGTAAAGACAAAAATATAAAATTTCCTACAATATAACAAAGGAAAGATTGAAATGCTCTTGGGTGTGACGATGACTTGAAACTATGGTGAAAGGAGAGAACCAACTCCCAAAAGTTGTCCTGTAACCACATACAAACCCCTAGCACTGACAAATCATATATACACACATAATAATCAACTTCTTAAAAAATCTAAAATGTCAGAAAAAAAAGAAAATAAGCTACACAATGATGAAAAGGTCTTTGTAAAAAAAACACATGATAAAGGGCAGCTACTCAATAAACAACTATTAAACTCAGGAAAAGAAAAATGAACTACAAACAGACAAAAGAAAGATACACAGTTGTCAAGCACATGAAAAGACGCTCAATATCAGATGTCATTAGGAAAGTGGAAACCATAAATGAAACAGTGTCAATCACACAGCTACCAGAACACAACACAAAGCAGAAAAAAAACATTAAATGCTGCCAAGGACACGAAACAAACTTTCACTGCAAGCAGGAATATAATATAGCCACTTTAGGAATAGTTGGCAGTCACTTAGAAAACTAAACCCACCCCTACCAAATGATCCAGCAATTTCATCCTTGGTATTTACTTATATAAACTAAAATGCATGTTCAAACTAAAATCTGCATATATGTTTATAGCAGCTTTGTTATAATGCAAAAACTGAGAACCAATCCAAATATTCCTCAGTATACACAGACAATGAAACAGTAGTAAAAGCAAATGAGATACCAAGTCATGAAAAACCATGTGTAGATTTTTATATACACAGTAAATCAAAGAAACCAATAAAAATGGCCACACATTTCAAATAATAGGAGTTGTAAAAGTATATGAAGAAGTGAGGAAAAGTAACTGTCAAAGGTTAGGCTGGAGGGAGATCTGAGATACAGCAGAGATGTTCAGGACAAATGAAACTAGTGTGGTGGCAGAATGGTGAGTACATGTCACTACGCATTTGTCCCCGCAACAGAATATACAACACAGTGAACTCAATTCTTGAAGAAAATGGCATGTCAATTATAATTATAACCACCAGTCATAATAATATACTACTATGATGCAGGATGTTTATGGTGTAGGAATATGAGCAAGAGAACATATATTTTTGGTTTAATTGTCCTTTCTTTCCTCTCATTATTTCTGAGTATGAGTATGCATGACAGGGGGTTGTACATGCCACAGTACATGTGTGGGGGTCATAGACAACCTTGATGTGGGTTTCAGGAATCAAACTCAGATCATCAGGTTTGTGTAGCAATGTACTTTAACCCACTGGGTCAATCTTGCTAGCCTTGGTTCGACACTCTGTGACTCAATGTGCTAGGAAGAAAAGGAAGGAAGATAGATAAATGACTCTGAATATGCTATGAAGTACAAGCCAGACAAGGAGCTAAAGTGGGAGAAATCAGTTAAAAAGACAATAATTCAGGCAAGACTCTAACATTGGCCATAGAAATAAAAGCATCCTGAAGCAAAAGTCCAGTTTGTATCCAATCTATTAGAGACAGATATCACAGATCTTTTTGTACAGGAAAAGTCTTATTTTCCTAAATTTAACAACAATATAAAATGTTTTGACAAAATACATGGTATCTTGGAAAAACTTACCAAGTTCATATACAACAAGATTAAAGAATACCTAGTAATCTCCAAAATTAAATTCCAAAAACTTAAAATTTATTTTCACTGAGTACCTACCTTTTATATGTAATATGAAACAATAATTAGATACTACATGTTACTGAAGGATTCATTTACTTTTTTAATTAATATAAATTATCAGTATGATGAAAGATTTAATTTTGTATCAGTTTGACACAATACTCATCCCTAGAAAACTCTTAACACTGTAAAGCAAGTATCAACAAGTGACTAAGGAAAGTGTAAATCATCTATTGTGGTGGTCATGCTTAAGAGACAATCAAAGAAGCGACTTGTTGGGTAAGGGAGGAATCAGCCTTACCTTTTTCTTCAGACTTTAGAGGAAAAACTTTCTTTTCTGCAGCTAACAGGTCAGGCTTTGGAGCTGGAGGTAGAGAAAAAAGTGAATACTATCAAAAATAATATACAAGAAGAGAACAAAAAGATGGTAATTTCTGGAATGCAATGAAACACCAGAATTCAAACTAATTTCATCTGTACTTGGATTAATACCACTACTGTTCCCTGATTGGGCATGTTTATCTTATGAATGCATCTATACTCGTAAGATTACATTTTATTTCAGTTGTAAAGCCATATAATAGGGATGGCATGATCGTAACACACCTGAAATTGCAGCAGTTAGGAGGCAGAGGGAGATCGTAAGTTTGAGGCTAACATGAACTGTCTAGTTACCACAGGTTTCACCTTCAGCTTCATAGTAAGATCCTGTCTCAACAAACCAAAATCAAACAAAAACCCAAAACAAAAGAAATGCACAAAACTCCAAACTGTGTTCAGGTATCTAGGAAAATTTTCTGTAAGAAATATTTGTTCAAAATAAATACAAATAAAAAAGTAGACAATGGAGCCAGGTGTCCTGGCACACACCTCTAATCCCAGCATTGGGGAGGCAGAGACAGGTAATCTCTCTGAGTTAAATCAGCCTGGTCTAGATAATGAGTTCCAGACTAGCCAGATCCACACAGTGAGACCTTGTCTCCAATCAATCAATCAATCAATCAATCAATCAATCAATCAATCAATCAAGTCACAGCAGAGTGGGTGAAGGACTGATGGATACTTCAGCACTTAAGAGAGCTGGCTGTTCCTCCAGGAGACCCAGGGTTCAATTCCTGCACCAATGTGGCAGCTCTTACAGCCATCTTTAACTCTGGGCCTGGGGTGGGTCTAGTGCCTTCTGCATGCACATGGTGCGAGAACATGCACGCAGGCAAAGCACCCACACACGTAAAATTTTCTAAAAAATTTAACTGGAATATATATTTCAGATAAGTCATTCTGGAACAGGTTTAAACTTAATTCATTGTATTAACTCAATATTCCTATTACTGAAGTATCCAAATTATTTCTAAGATCCTTATTTTATTTTTGGAGACAGGGTCTAACTATACAGGCAGGCTGGCACTGAACTTACAATCCTAAAAATTTGAGGATTACAGATATTCACCACCATGCCTGAGTAGGATCTTTATATCATCTGTACTTTTAAAAATAATGATGACTAATGCATGTGAACATTTAATTTTACATAGACCTAAAATACCTTAATCTTCATTTTAAATGGTTTTGTTAATAATAAAATTCATTGGTTTATATTAAAGTAAAACTTACTATTTGTAACTTGAAATCAGAAAAGTAGCAAACTAAATAACACATTGTTTTTTACAAACCTGGACCCTTTACAGGAGGAGGTGGTTTCTTTGGTTTCTGAAAGGGGGTTAAAAAAAAAAAGTTAAAATTGATTAGCTATTTAAGTTAAAATAAGTTCATCTAAATTATATTGTTTCTCACCTCAATCTTGCCAAGAACAATAAAATACTAAGAAACTAAAAACTCTAAGGAAGGTCACTGAAAAAAAATATTAATTATAACCAAACAGATTCCTGGTGCACTGGCATGAATGTATGGGGTAACCAAGTCCCTTCTACTTAGATTTATGTCCACTCTACCAGAGGGTAGAGCCTGGCACTACAAACCTGGTCAAAAGCACATGGAGTGGGAAGTCACAGGCCCCAGGGGAAAACAACTACTGATGTTTTCTATGTGGACAAGATATAAAACTGCCTTTAAATATTTCTATTTCTATTCACAGTGTTGCTCTCTGCCTTAATCAGAGCAGCTTCTGTTTTGAGCAAGCTATACGGTAATGCAGAGACTTGTGACAGGATAAAGTGCTAAGAATAAACTGCTTTTCAGCACTCAGCACCAAGCTGTCCATAGGCTCAGAAACATCACAAAAGTGGATGTAGAAAGAAAGAACATTAAGACACACAAGGTGGGAAGAGTCCTGTGAAAAGCTGGCTTTGGATATGATGTGGGCATCCATCCATGACCTCACGGCAGCAGAGGCTATGTGCTTGAGACTGAGGCCATCAGCACTGCATCCATCATGCCTTGAGGAGGGCTCAGAGGCCTCACTCAATAGAGGAGCTAGAGGCAGTAATGGTTTCTGGATATAAGGTGTCATTCCTCTGTGGCGGAGCCACTGGTAATTTGCCCTTGTTCAAGGTTCAAGTAAATCAACCTCCATCCACAGTCAACTCTGACTAAATACAGTTGATTACAAAAAAAAAAAAAAAAACACGAAAAGAAAAGGGCTTGTTGGGAAAGAAAAGGACTCGGTAAGAAGAGGAATGTGATAGAAGAGGATAGAGAGGGGGAATATGATCATTGTATATTATATATGTACAAAATTGTGAAAGAATAAGTAAAAATAAAAAACCGTAAAGTACTTATGAAAAATTAAAAAACAAAAGAGTAACAATAAAACTAGCTTTCATTCTTAAGTCTAAAGAACTCACAGACAGTTAAAAACAAAGGCAGCCTTTCCTCTCAATTTCTAAGTATTCATTAACTTTTAGTGTCTTAAAAAATTTCTAACATTCTTAATTGTGTTGCCCCAAATTAAGAATAACTAGTAAGTAATATAATAAAAGCAGGAAAAAAAACAGTGCCCATTAAGGAAAGAATGAAAGTAGAATGGAAGCTGAATCAAAACTGAATGCAATATAGCGAAGAAAGGACTCAGACAGCCTAAGCGTCTATAAAGTAATTGCCAATGATTAACATGATTAAAGACTACAAGGATTAGCATGCTCTGCATGGGCTTGAACTGAAGATGACAGCCTATTTTTGCTGGGTACACCTAACTGCTTTGCCTTCTAATTTTAAGTTCACGGAACCTTGATTGTGGAGAAAGTGTCAAGGCACGAAAAGGCAAAAAAGTGTCTAGTACTAATGAATGATTCCGTCCCACTCATTTCTCTCTGAGAATTAATACAGAAATATTACGTGTATAATAAGGAGGCAAGCACTCAGTTTCACAATACCATAAAATAAACTGACACTTTTCATTAACATTAAATTCCATTCAGAAAATTAAGACTCTATTCAACTTATATTAAGCCAGCTCTTTTCTGTAAATCAGAAAAGGTAGAGAAGTCACAGCTGAGCTGGGTGGTGGTAGCACACATATCTTTAATCCCAGCACTTGGGAGGCAGAGGCAGGTGGATCTGTGAGTTTGAGGCCAGCCAGGTATACAAAACTACACAGAGAAACCCTCTGTCTTTTGGGGGGGAGGGGGATCACAGCTGGCCTTCAGTACACAGTCAATATCAAGAATAAAATATAAGGCTGAAATAAATAATGTTTCAGGGCACATCAAATTTTGATATCCTTTTGTATATATGTAAACTCTGTCTACTCTATGAAGTTTACTCAGCAGCAATGTAAAACAACTATTTTTGAAGAAGACTATCTGAAAACATTACAGTATCATCATCATTAAAAGGCAATTGGAAACTTTCTTACTGGAAAGTCTTTATCTAGTTCACTTATCTGAACAGCAAAATTATCTGGAAACACTCCTTCTTTGCCATTGAGTTCACCCTTCCACCAGCCTGCTTCTCCAGTCTCCTGAAATGCAAAGCAAATAGTTACACTAATGGAAACCTCATATTTTCTTTCCTTTTTTGGGGATGGAGAACTTGTCAAGTAGCACAAGCTGCCTCAAACTAACCATCCTCCTACCCTACCTCTGCAGGCACGAGCTAGTAGTTACCATTAAATGAGGGAAGAGTTCACAATGAGCTAGGATCTTTATCTTTAAAGGGCTTGGACTGGGGTGGGCAACCTCAACAAACAGTAAAGTTTCCTTAGGGGGAAAAAAAAAAAACCAAAACTATTCTCAGCATGCTACTTTTAGTAGTACTCAGAAAACTGGGTTTAATAACTAGGTGTAGTGCTATACACCTTTAAGTCCCAGAACTCAAGGGCTGGCACTCACAGATCTCTGAGTTTGAGGCCAACATGGTGAGTTCCTTGCTAGACAGAATGAGACCCTGCCAAAAAATTAAAAACAAAAGAAAAACAGAGCAAAAGAAAAATAGAATTTAATGTTTTAAAATATATCAATTTAAAATGTAATATATAAGTTAAAATGTTCTCATGGGAACAGGGGACGTAGAGAAAAGAAGAATATAATAGTTAAGAAAAAAACAGGAAAAGAGTAAGAATTCCTAAATTTTTATTTGCACATCCTAAAAAAATCACTTACCTAACAGATTCAGAAATTAGCACTTTTAATGACCACTGCATGAAGTATTAAGCTTTATCAGTCTAAACTCTACAGAGGGACTACAGGTGCTTTATCTATCATGTGGGTACCTAAGTGAGATGCTGGATATATTCATTAACATTCTTGCTGTTTTTGTAGTCATAATACAAACACTTTAAATGTACACAATAAATACATTTCTAAAACAAAAAATCAGATACACTAAGCCAAATGTTAACAGTTAGAACAATAAGATGAACTTTAAAACAAACTCCACAAGGCTACAGCAAAAGTAATTATTTAATATTCTCTCATAAGACCTAAAACCCAGGAGGCTTTGGGTTTTTTTGTTTGTTTGCCTTAGAATTTATTCTAATTTATACAATCATTTCTTTCTTTAAAATAGGTGTAGCAAGGCTGGTGAGATGGCTCGGCAGGCAGAGGCACCTGCCATCAAGCCTGATATCCTGAGTTCAAACCCAGGGACCCACAAGGTGGAAGGAGAAGTTGTTCTCAAACCTTTTCTCACAGGAAGACGAACTTACTAATGAACATTAGATTGTCCAATTCTTGGAGTTAATAAAGGAATAAAAATAAGCAATGTAATCACTGGTCTTTTTTTTTTTTTTTCATTTTTCTCCTTTTTAAGATTTATTTAAGTGGGGGCTAGAGATGACTCAGAGGTTAAGAGCACTGGCTTGCTCTTCCAGAAGTCCTTCCTGAGTTCAATTTCCAGCAACCACTTGGTGGCTCACAATCACCTGTAATGAGATCTGGTGCCCTCTTCTGGCCTGCAGGAATACATGCAGACACAACACCTTTATACATAATAAATAAATCTTAAAAACAAAACACACACAAAAAAGATTTATTTAAGTGTCTGAGTATTTTGCCTACATGTATGAAGATACACCACATGCACGCCTCATGCCTGTGTAAGTCAAAACTAGGTGTCTGATCCCCTGGAACTAGAGTTACAATGTCTCTAAGCAACATGTGGGTGCTAGGAACTGAACCATCTCTCCAGCACCGATCACTGGTTTTTAGTACATCAATTACAAGCAATACAGACAATAAAAACTTGAGAAAGAAATCACTTTAAGAGCTTGTATTTATGTTCCCAGACCCCAAAAACAAGATAAAGTTCCAGTCCGTCTGATGCCAATATTCTATAGGCAATGCAAGAATTTTGAAAGATACTCCTATGAATGATGATTCATTAAAAAATACCTTACCTTACTTATCAAGTGGATTATCTCCCCTTCTTTAAAAGTAAGTTCATCTTCATTGGTTCCTTCATAGGCAAATAATGTTCTACAATATTCCTTAGCTGAAATAAAAAATATAAAATAATGTGACTTATAATAAAGCAGATACGTATTAAGCCTCTATGTAAAGTAATATACTCACTAAGCTATTAAACTAAAAAATTTAAAGCTTATTCTCTATGTTAAGAAAAAATTTCCCTATCACTGAAATATTATTCAGTGTCTGTTATGTACAAAACATAGTTTTACATAAGAAAGATTCTGAAATGAACAGAGCACATCAGAATTCTCAATCTCCTGTGCTTTTATCCAGTGGGGTTTAATATTCTGGGAATTAGTACAGTGTAAAATGAGCTAGTAATTTAAAAGCGTATTTATACCAGAGTGGTTACTTTAGAACTTACCTTTAATCTTGCCGTCAGTGTCTGGTTTCGTCACCTCCACATTCTGGGTTCTGGATCCCAGTGACTGCAGGATTAAGGGCTAGAAAAGGACAGTATCAATTAGCTTAAGTTAAAATAAAAATATGTTTTTTAATACTTTAATACTTTACTTTACTTTTCAGGCTTGGGAGACAGTTAAGAGCACTTGTTGCTTTTCCGGAAGACCCAGGTTCAACTCCCAGCACCCACATGGTGGCTCACAACCATCTATAACTCCAGTCCCAGGGAATCCAAGCCCCTTTCCGGCCTCTGAAGGTACTAGGCATACATTTGGTACAGATATACAAGCAGGAAAAACACCAACACACATAAAACAAAAATAAATAAGTCTAAAAGAAGTTTGTTAAGATTTTATTTAACTTTAAATGATGTATATGTGTCTCTGGTGTGAATGTTTATGTGGATTCAGTTGCCCATAGAGGCCAAAAGACGGTGTTGATCCCTGGAGCTGGAATTACGGTGGTTGTGTGTCACCTAACTGGATTCCGGTCCTCTACAAGACCAATATGCATTCTTAACTGCTGGGCCATGTCTCCAGCCAAAGAACAATACCGTTAAACCAAGTTTTCCTTTATACTTGCCCAGCCCTCTCTAATGGTCCTTTTAGTCAGCAATAAAACTTAGCAATAAAAAATTAATAATCTCAAAATTTCCTGCAATGAGAGCTACTAAATTTTTTCTTCTTACATGTATCAGTGTTTTGCCTGCATGTATATCTGTGCATCGAGTGTATGTGGTGTCCATGTGGGTACCCTGGGACTGGAGTTATAGAAGGCTGTGAGTCTGGATTGTAGGAATCTAACCCAGGTCCTCTGGAAGAGCAGCCAGTGCTCTTAACCACTAAGCCATCTCTCCAGCCCAAATAGCCACTAAGTTTTAAAAGTATCTAAAAATAATAAATACATACTGGTATCTACATTACGATTTACTACTAGAACTTCTAAAATAAATAAAAGTAATAACCATTTTAATCCTTACAACTTTCTGCATCAGGCAGGGATTGTCTCTTCCTTTTTACATTAGGAAGCAGTTAACCTAACAAAACAGTGATTTTAGTCCTGAAGCCCAGATATGAAACTACAAAAATTGACTCTTAACAACACTAACCCTTAAAATTAAAGGGAATTTTAAATTCATTTTCTCTGTGTATTTTAATTTCTTGTATGTATATACTGTGTTTTTGAGTTTCATATGAGTAATGCATCTATATCACTCTCACGGCACTCCAATGCTGAAAGAGGGTATTTTAAAACTATCTGAATGAAAATATTCATGTACTACTACAACTCTAACATAGTCTACTTAGACATTTCTCCATAGAACATGGTAGGTCCTGCACCACCTTCAACAATCGCTTCCTTGAGTCCTTTACCCAAACAGAACAGTACATACGACATTGGACTTCAATGGTTAAAAACATGAACACATTGAAAACTAACCTACCATTATGTTTATGTGTCTTACAAAATACTCACTTTAATTTCTCCCTGTCCAAACCATACCTTCCAATACTGTATCACCTAAAACATACCAAGTGCTCCCCTTAAATAAAGGGGCTCTGAGACTACTCTCACTAATAACTAAGCAGTAGACATAGAGTGCTAAGATTTAAAAGATGCAAGCCATCACACTGGACCAGACTCTAAAATCCTAATGCCAAGATTCAGGATAGGACAGAGCAGGGAGCAGAGGTGCTCTCTCCTGACTCTGACTTACAATTAAATAGGAAAATACATAGCAACCTAGCAGACAAGATACTGAAAACTACCATCTTGGGAGAAATAACAATGTATTTCACTAACCAAATGAGATGTAGCTGAATTAGGTAGATAATAAAATATTTTAAACTTTTAAGAGATAAGGAGACAAATGAAAATTATAGGTCCTAGAGAGATGGCACAGCAGGTAAGAGCACTTACTGCTCTTAAAGAAGACCCAAATTTGGTTCCCAAAACCAACTCAAGCAGCTCAATCAAGCACAGTGTAACTCCAGTTTCAGAGGGTCCAGCACCCTCTTCTGATATTCTTGGGCTTATGTGAACACATGTTATAAATACACATACATGCATACATATATACACATAAAATAATTTTTTTAAAAAATGAGGACTATAGGGATAAAGTTCATATCTTCTGAAGCAAGTGCTCAGTCAATATCTCCAAAACACAGACACTGGGGAAGAAATGCTCAAGAGTTCAATTATTACCCCCAGAACAACATAAAGGCTTACTTTTTAGCTTTTTATTAGATCTTATAAATTATGGGTTGTTCACTTGACTTAATTTGAAAATGCCAGTAAAATGCTAATAAAATTATCTAAACACTCAAAAGTGAAGTTAGTAAATTTAACTACTGTTGAGAATCCAGAGAAAAGTTAAGTAGCACTTAGGTATTTAGTATTTCACTTTCAATTCACTTTAGTTCATTTTTAGCTATCAAATTAAAAGAAAAATAACAAATCTTTAGCTTTAAAAGACAAAATGAAAATATTTCCCTTTTATATTTACACTATAATAACCAGAAGATCCTAAGGTTGCTAGTAAGAAAAGTCTATCTTAGATTTATCAATTAATAAGCACCTTGATTTTATAACACTGAAATATAATTATTAACCATTACAAATCACAAGAGAAGTTTCCCACAAACTTCTAATTCATAAGTAAGTCCCCATGACCCCTAAAAGGAAATTAAAAGATTTTCAAACCTTTACAACTTTAAAAAAAAAAAAAAACTTAGTGATGAGAGGTGAGATACCAGGAGGATCTTGAGGTACAGGCTAGCCTTGGCTACATAGGGAATCCTTATCTTAAAAAAGCATACAAACAAACAAAAAACCAATACCCTCATCCCCCCCCAAAAAAAGCCAAATGAAACAACAAATAAAATTAATCTAAGTTAAATTTATTATTACTACCTGTGATGGTTAACTATGACTATCTATGACACTTAACTATGACTGTGATGGTTAACTGTGACTGCCAGTGACAGTTAAGTTTTTGTCAACTTAACATAAGCTAGCATCACCAAAGAGGGAAGCTCAAATGAGGAATTGCTTCCATAAACTGGCCTGTGGGTCATATCTCTGAAGTGTCTTCTGGATTCTGACTGATGGGAGAGGAACCAGCCGAGCAGAGCAAGCCAGTAAGCAGCTTCACTGCATAGTTCCTGCCTCTATTCCTGCTTACGTCCTGCTTTGATTCCCTCAAAGATAGACTGATAGGAACATGTGAGCCAAACAAAGTCTTTCCTCCCTCCAAGTCAGTTTTGGTCAGTATATTATAGGAACAGAGAACCAAACTAGTACACTACCTTTTCTGTCTTCTTCTCTTCTGTTTCACTACTGGATGTTCTTGTCCTAAGTTTCACAGATCCTTCTTTAAAAATATCTCCAAATCCAATTCCTCGAATTTTCTTTGGCTGTGTGACTGATCCAGGAGCAATTTCACTCCCATTCCCCGGAGACACTAGAGGTGAGGTAGAGCCAGTCAAAGCTATTTCTAAAAAAAAAAAAGAAAAAAAAAAAAAAGAAATTGTTTATGAAGAATGACACCCAAAATTACAAAAGTCTTTATATCACTTACAAAATCTTATGCCTTCTTTTTTTGTTGTCATTGTTGGTTCTTTGTTTTTTCGAGACAGGGTTTCTCTGTATTGCTTTGGAATTTGTTCTGTAGAACAGACTGGCCTCGAACTCACAGAGATCCACCTACCTCTGCTTCCCCAGTGCTGGGATTAAAGGCATGTGCCACCAACACTCAGCTAATCTTATGCTTTCTAATTTAAAAATAATAATAATAACAAAGAAAGTAAGATAAACAGCACGGTGTTCAAACATTCTAGAGCAAGATGTACTTTACACTGGATTTTGTTGCTGTGTTGAATCAAACAGTAACTATTCTAATTGTATTAATATTATGACTAAGAAATTCAGGAAACTAACACAAAAGATTCTTAGCAAGTGCTACAGCTTAGATACAGGTGTCTCCTAAAGGTTCATGTCCTTGAAGCTAATGGTACAGAAAGGTGATTGACAATTTGAGAGTTGGCACCCCCTAGGAGATGACTGATTCATCACCACCTGGGGAGGACTAACACTGGTTTTAGGATTTGCAGAAGTGGACTGCTTCGTAAAAGAGAACTTTGCTATATAGAAGCTTCATGGTAGAAGCTTCATGGTCATATTAATTTTGTATTAATATGACCATGCTACATTTAATATGTCTCACACAGAACACTAGGCTTTCTTGTAACCTGCTTCGAGGCTCTGACAGTATACTTACCAGTCTGACATTCTTGTCCTTTCATTTTTCAGACCATTTATAATTAATGATATTTAAATCAATTAGTCTGCCATTTGTTTTTTATTTACTCACTTATTTTTACTCCTTTTCTCTCATCTTGGTTTGTCCCACTATACATCAGCATCTCATTTTAATAGCTCACTAAATATACCTCTGCTACAGCTTGAAAGTACACTAATAGTCATTGGATACATACATCTATCTCACTACTTACTCTAGAATTCGTCCCTTTTTCATTAACTTTATACAAAAAAAGCTACTTCATGTGTACCTCCACACAGTGACATAAAACATATTTTTTAAATTAAAATGTGATCCTTTGTTTGAAAAATTAACAAAAAAATGGATTATACTGGGTATTAAGGAAAAGTAATACAACGGAGACACCTGATGAAAACACAACACTCAACAGAAACAATCTAGTTTATCGTTAATTTTACAACAGCAGTATAAAAGCTTTCAAAGATGGCCACACATTTTCTTTTGTTTATGTATTGCACATGAAGGAATAAAGAGGAAGGGAGATTATCTTGATTATCTTTACTTGGATAGTCCCATATTCCCTGCAGGACACTAAAATTCAACATCTCCAAAGTAAATTCACCATCTCTCCCCACTTAACCTATCTCCAGAAACAGTATCTGCCTCAACCCAAGGACTGCCTGCTAATCTCTGACCACTCTTCTTCAGTCACTTTCCATATCTCATCATAATTAGGTCTTATATGATACAGAGCCTATATAGCTCTCCCATTCTACCCATGTCTCTCCATCACCACAGCATTCTAGTTTAGACAAGTACTATTTCTACCTAAATCATCAAACACTCTCAGCTGGCCCTGCCAGCCAAGTCTTCTTCGATGCACTTTCACACTGCAACCAAAACAATCCAGCTTAATAAAACAATTTGATCATTTCACTCCCCTTCAAGCCTTCTCTGTGATTTAGTGCTTTTAATGCGTTAAGCCTGAAGTTTCACTATTCTTAACATCTACCACCTTCAACTATATAATCCAAAATCCTCAAATGAATGAAAAAAAACTGTTTTACTTCACTCTTCAAGTTTGCTGAAGCCTATTCATTTTGAGATCTCAATATATGACTTCTGCAAAAAGGTTCTCCTCCCCCTCTTAGACCCTGAAGTTCCTTGTGACAAATATTTTTCATGTCAAATTACATTAACTTTGACTTATTTAATAAACAGCCTTTAATTTTGAATGGAACAAAAGCTTAAAGGGGGGGTGTTTTTTATTTACCACTGAATCCCCAGAATCTGGCACCATATGTTGGACAACAAGCCAAGCCCTCAATATACTAAAAGTAAACAAACTATGGATGTTAAGTCAATAGTAGTTTTTATATGCAGGATTTCCCTTCAATCATAAACTATTAGATTTCAGATTTAATGCCATGCCTCCATTGAATGTAAATGGGCTCTCCTATCACTGCTCAGAAATCTCAGTCATGACTCAGAGAAATTAAAATCCAACAAGCAAACCTCAGGGCTGCAAAACTATACTAAGAAATGCCTAGTACCTCATTTACTGTCCATGACTTCCACACATTAAGTAGTATAAAAGAAACAACAGAAGCCCAACTGTGACTTTACTACTCAGTAGATAATCAGGACTTCCAATTTCATCACTCTTAGTAAAAGTGATACCAATACCTTTGACAGTTAAGATTTCACTTTCTAAACTGTCTGAAAAGTTTCTGTATACCAAAAAGTACTATTCTTTCATTGAACATCAACATGTCACACTATTCCACAAAAAATAGGAATTTGGAAATGAAAAAAAATTACATATTTTAATTAGTAGCTTGCCAGTATGTATGTGTGTCCAAATAAAGAAGAGTAAATTCTGCTTCAAAATGAAACCAAGGAGAAGATAATGAAAGAGAAGAGGTTAAGGCTTTTTTTTTTTTAATAGAGCAGTCAGAAATGGCATCAGTAATAAAATGATCAATAAGAGAATCCTAAGTCAGACACTAGAAGTCATAAGAATACGTCAAAAAGACTTCCAAGCAAAGACACAGAGAGGTCACAGTATCCGTGGAAGTTTCATACCCAACTGTTCTGTATCCAGATTCAACCAAGTGGAAATGTGGCTAGATAGCTGCATCTTTACAGACTTTTTCTTGTTTTTCCTTATAAATACAGTAATGTAACAACTATTTACTTTGTTTTAGGTATTACAAGTAAAACTGGAAATTACTTAACATGCACAATCAGATGTGCCTAAATTCTATGCAAATTCTATGCCATTTTAGAAAGAAACTAGTGTCCTCTGATTCTGTTATCTACGGGGAACCCCAGAACCTAAGTGCAGCAGATACTAAACAAACAACAATGTACTGAACCCACTAAAAAAATCAAAGCCAATGTCTCAATGCCTAGAAAAGCAGGCAGCAGATAAAGGAACTGGTCTAAAGACTAAAACTAAACCATACGTGTGGTCATAAGTGAAGCAGAAATCATTATAAAAGCATAAAAGAACAATTAAAGAAGCCTGTATATAAACTACGTGTGAAACAATATTATCAATATAAAGTTTCCTGATTTGATGATGACAATAATCCAACTATGACACTACACTTGTTCTCAAAGATTAACAAGATTTCTAAAACAGATGCAGACAGAACATGAGCAATAATTAGCACACGGTGAACTATTAACTGGATAAATCTGGGTAAAGAATACATACATGAGAATTCTTTCATTTTATGTTTCTCCAAGTTAAAAAGAAACATTTCTAGCACAAGCCTGCAATCTCAGTCCTGGGAGGATTACCATGAATTTGAGGTCAACCCTCTTTCAGAAAAACAAACAAACAAAATGCTTCTAAAGATGTCCTTTAAGGCAATACTTTGTAAATAAAAGTACTCAGCAATGGGATTCAAATGACAAAACTCTTAGAAATTTTGATTCAATAAAAATAAAAGCACATCATCATAATAGTGTCAAGTTTCTCTGCTATAAAATGGGCTAGGGGCTGGAGAGATGGCTCGGCAGTTAAGAGTACTTGCAGAGGACCTGAATTCAGTTACCAGCGCCCATATCAGTCATCTCAAACAGCCTGTGTGTGACTCCAGCTCCAGATCTGACATCCTTCTCTGGACTCCCCAGGCATGCACATACTCACATGCAGATATACATTTACACAGAGAGAAACAAAAACATTTAATAAATACAAAAAAATCAATCACTCAAATGAAACTACAGAGTTATAAGGACTTTCTAGGTTTCTAGGTATTTCTGAACTTTATCACCTCATGCCATTTTCTGCCATTTAAAAAGTCTAGCTTTTCCTCCCAAAATCAATTTTCTTCATGCTTTCTACCATTCAATAAGACTGCCTTCTTGGGCTGGGGAGGGGGTTCAGCAGTTAAGAGCACTAGCACAGGCTGCTGTTACAAAAAAAAAAACAGGTTTGATTCCCAGCACACAAACATCAGCTACAACTATCTGTTAACTCCAATCCCAAAGGATCCAATACCCTTCTATCCTCTGTGAGAACCACGAACACATAGAGCATACACAAAACATGCAGGCACAACATCCATAAACATTAAATAAATTATTAAAAAAGATTCTGCTCTCCAGGATCCAAATTTCTTTATTTTTTTTTCAAATTAGAACAGGGTCCAAATTTCTTAAGTTGTAATGTTAGGGGAGGTACCACATAATAAACACATAATTAAGAATGATGACAAAAGCCAGGAGGTAGTGGCGGCGCACACACGCCTTTAATCCCAGCACTCGAGAGGGAGAGGCAGGCGGATCTCTGTTGAGTTCGAGACCAGCCTAGTCTACAAGAGCTAGTTCCAGGATGGCCTCCAAAGCCGCAGAGAAACCCTGTCTCGAAACCCCTCCCCCCCAAAAAAAGAAAAAACAAAAAAAAGAAAAAGAAAAAAACAGAACGATGACAAAAGGTGCAGGAATTCTTTTCAAAGTCTGAAATAGTAAATCTACAAGTAATGCTACTGTAGGTAAATTTTAATTTTGAAATTATTTTAATTATTTGTATGTGTGGGATATGTGCACATGAGTGCAGATGCCCAAGGAACCAGATCCTCCTGGACCTGGAGTTACAGGCTATGTGGGCTGCCCAACATGCACGCTGGGAAACAAACTCCAGTGCCCTGAAAGAGCAGTATGTACTCTGAACTGCTGAGCCATCTCTCCAACCTTGTCTACGAAATTTTCAATTATTATTTGGATTTATTTTCTCTAATGGTCTCTTGTCATTCAGTTCACTAAAGCTCAGAAATCCATTCTATACACATTAACAGATTTCATTTCACTTCATATCATTTGCTTATCCATTTGCTTAAAACACTGACAAAAGTCGGAGGAAATAATAGTTCAAAACAGTATACTGGGGCTGGAGAGAAGGCTCAGAAGTTAAGAGCACTGGCTGCTCTTCCAGAGGTCCTGAGTTCAATTCCCAGCAACCACATGATGTCTCACAACCATCTGTAATGAGATCTGGTACCATCTTCTGACCTACAGGGATACATGCAGACAGACACTGTATACATAATAAATACATAAATTTAAAAAAAAAAAAAGTATACTGCCCTGCAATTGCATATAATACCTTTATGGTAAAATCACTACTCTTGTTTGCAAATTAATTACAGAAAAGCAAAGATAGCTTATATTCACTACTTCCACTCACATAAACAAGCACCACACACACACACACACACACACACACACACACACACACAAAATACCTTGGCATTACACTTACCCCTCAAAAATCTATGAATATATGTATATAACCAAAAAATGGCTATGTATTACTAGTTAGTAAAAGCATGACTTTTTAAAAATCCTCAGTATATGTACAGTTCCACCTACACTTGAAAATTTAAGTAATCTTTTAAAGCAACTTTCCTAAATACCACAGCAATTTTTTAAAAATGGTGTTAATTTACAACTAGCTTGGGTTAAAATTTCCTCAAATCCTTGAATGGTGAGCATATTAAGATGAATTTGTGTCTCTAATTGACAAGAGATCAAAATTTATTAAGCTACACATGGTAGGACACACACTTAGAATCCTAGCACTTGGGAAGCTGTTCAAAGTCAGCCTTGTCTACACAGTGAGTTCCATGTCTGACAAAGCTACATATAGAGAACTTATCTCAAAAGACCAATAACAATAATAGCAACAAAAATTAAATGCCATTTGGCCATAGAAAAAACAGAAACTGGTGTATGAATATAGAAAACAAAAGTAAGTGCTATGATAAATTTTCTCAATTATTAAACTAGGCCATTTGCAAACTCAGCAGTTCAAAAAGTACAGATAAAACAATAAGATAAAACAGAACTCAGAGAAAGAAAAATAACTATTTGACCAGGCATTTTTCCCTTTTATTCCCACTATAATTTGCTTTTTAAAACTAGACTAACTGAAACTGATTAAGCACCCAAAAGAAGAATTACAAAAGATAAAGTCATAGTAAAGTCTTTCACCTACCTGATTCATCCTGCCCTTCATGAGTTTCACCATCATCTGTGAGCTCTAATTCTTTCACAAAGTTTGAGGGGAAAAGTCCCAACTTATTGTTCAGCGTTCCACTCCACCAGCCTTCCTCTACCTGAAAAAGTTCACAGCTCAAATGTAATAAAATTCTTTTCAATGAAAACCTTCACTCTATGGAAAAACTGAGCTGTAAAAATAACTCAACAAATAATGATGCAAAACAAGTACTTTAAAAGAAAGAAAGCACAACAGGGAAGTATCATTTTAAGTTGATAAAATCTTATTAGTCTAAATGAAGTTGTACATGGAATTAATCATATTACTTGCAATGTTTATATTGAGAACTTAAAATCAATTATAACCTGTGAAGCAAACACTTTTTATTAAAGTGATAAGTAGAGTATAATATATAACTGAGAAAGCTTATAGCTCCTGACTGGAATGGTACCCACACATTGCTGAGCTTTGTTTTATAAATGTAAGATATATTATTTATTTAAAATATTTTTTTGAACAAAGTTTAGTAACTCTAAGAATGTAACCTCTCGGACCAGTGAAATGACTCAGTAGGTTAGTGTTTGCCACCCTGAAGTTGATCCCTGAAGCCCACAGAATAGAAGAAAACTGACCTCTATACATGTGCCATCGCAGGAGCGCATCACACACATATGCTCAGGGGTTAAGAAAGTAAAGGACCATAGTTCAATTCCCAGCACCCATGTCAGACAGCTCACAACATCCCATCTCTGGGGGAATCACAAACTTCTAGTCACCTCAGATACCTGCACATACCTGCACATAGACCCACACACATATACATAATTAAAAATAAATTTAATAATAAATGTAAAAACATTTCTAAGGATGTCATTTCCTAAGTGATATAAAAATCTTATTTCCCCTTTTTAGTTAAACAGTGATTCTTAACCAATGCATAAAAAAATTATTTTGGTTTTGTTTATTATTTTGTTCATTTTCTGTGCATGGACATTTGCCTGAATGTGGTGTGTACACCACATGCATGTAGTGGCCCAAGAGTCCGTAAGAAGGCATCAGAGGCCCTGGAACTAGAGTTACCATGCGAGCTGTCATGTGAATACTGGAAAGTGAACTGGGGTCCTCCAAAAAGAGCAGCCAGTGCTCTAAAATGCTGAGCTATCTCCAACCCTGAAAAAGATCACTTTCAAATAAACACCTTACTCCAAACAAATATTCCTCATGAATCAAATTCTTTAGCAGGGGCTGGAGAGATAGCTCAGTGGTTAAGAGCATTGACTGCCCTTCCAGAGGACCAGGGTTCAATTCCCGGCACCTACATGGCAGCTCACAACTGTCTGTAATTCCAGTTCCAAGTGACCCGACACTGTCATACAGACACACATGCCAGCAAAACAGCAAAATGCACATAAAAAACCTTTAAGAAAGCAGTTATACTCACTAATAATAAGACTGCTCAATTTATTAGAAAGTGTGCAATGACTGTTGAGAAGTGCAGTTTCTGCTGTGGATCCTGAGGGTTTAGTGAGTAAATTCTGTAGAGTACGCTGCTGTCACCATTTCTTATCAGCATTACGTCACAGTTAGAAATACCTCACTTACATAAATCATTTTCAATAGTATCCACCTCATAACTGAAAGCAAACTATGTATTTCTACATAACTTTTCTGGCTGTCCTGGAACTCACTAATAGACCAGGCTGATCTCAAATTCACAAAGATCCAATTGTCTCAGCCTCCAGATTAAAGGCATGTGCTACTGTGCCCAGCCTGAAAACCAACTTTTAATAAATAACTGATGTAATAGGCACTCTTTATGTACAAGCCATGTCTTACTACTAGGAAAAGATTCAAATCTTGCATATGAGAAATCCCTTCCTTAACGTTGCTGAAATAGCTAAACTGGGAGACTAAAGACTACAGCAATCCCTGTTCTTGAATAAAACAATCTAAGAAAGCAGTAAACACATAGTAAGAATGTAACTGCTAGGCATGGTAGCACACACCTTTAATCCCAGAACTCAGAAGACAAGCCAATCTTTTTTAGTTCCCAGCCAGCAAAAACTACATAGTGAGTACCTGTCTCAGAAAAACAAAACAAAAAAAAAAAAAAAAAAAAAACTGATAATAATGAAATGTAAAAATAAATGCTGCAATCAAAGTGGGAACATAGCGGCATAAGCTTGAAAATATCAATTATCTTCTCCCCTAAACGCAAATGACCAAAAAGCTCAACATTAACCCTAAATAAGAATCTTCCAGATAAGAAGCATGTGGGGAAAAAAAAACAGTCACATCAAAACACATGATGGCTACAGACAATAACAAATAGCTAGATACAGTATGTTTGGGACGGCGATGTAAAGCAGCAAACATTAAGGGCTCAGGGGCTTTTGCAGACTTAAAGCAATATGAAACTAGACATGATGACTCATGTCTGACCATAGCACTCAGCACATAGGGCAGGAGAAGAGTTGCTTTGAACATAAGGCCAGACCAAGCTAAATTGTGAGCTCCAGGAAGTGGGCTACAGAGTGAGACCCTGCCTCCAAGAATAAGGGAAGAGAAGGAAGATAAAACTAAGATAAAGGATTAAAAATTATAGGAGTTATGCATGCTATGGAATTAAGTATGACAAAAATTACAAGACAAAAATGGAACACATTCAAAGAAAAACATCAGTATTATTTAAACTAAGAAATTCTTGGGAAGAAGTTGTGGTTAAGAACATGCATTCAAGCATAGCAATAATGAACTGGGCATGACGACCATGCCTGTAATCCCATCACTGAGGAGGACCAGTTTAAGGCCAGCCTGGGTTTTTATCTCTAAGAAGCAAACAAACAAAAAAGCAAGTAATCATTTGAAAACAGACTGCACAGTCTAGCCTGCTGACACAAGCCTGCAATTCCAGTGCTCAGGAGGTGAAAGGGAAGACTACAAGTCTGAGGCCAGACTAAGATACATAGTCAGACTCTGGCCCAAAAAACCAAGGGCTCACTATGCACAGAACCCTCGGTTCTTATCCTCCATGGGGGACTGAGGAGAAGGGGAAACTTCAAGACAGATATAACAAGACAACAAACTACACACATTCAAATTCAAGCCACTGCATGTCAGGCACATAGAAAGTTAAGGTGTCTCACACAACAAATATGGTCTTGACACCATTCCCATGAAGAACTGATAATTTCTGAGCTCTCCCCCTTCACTCCTGAAAACTTCTAAGTGGTTTGTAAGTAGCTATCATTTCCAAGGCTAGACTGTAAAAGGCACTTCACCCTGTTTGCTAATACAGTTAGTTGCACTTCGAGTTGTCAAACTGCTATGCAAATCAAAGTAAGCACCATCTGCTGAAAATGTGTTTCAGATTTCAGACTATGGAATAGTTTAACTTTACCAAAATTCTGAAGCTTTTTTTATTATTACATAAGTAGTCAAGAGGTTTCAGAATCTTGACCATTTCAAGATTGTGATATCGACTACCCAGACACTCCATACTTACTCTAAGAAATCCAACCCAAATGGAAAGAACACTAAATAGCTGTAAAGGGGCTATCAGACACTATGTGTGAATAAGGGGCATTCTTATAAAGGCTCTCTCTCTCTCACTCGCCCACCCCTTACTCTGAACCTTTGCCACTGAGGCCCTAGACAGCAAAGAACAAACAAGCCAATCCTCTTGTGCTTTAATCTGCACACTTGAGCCATACAATCCACAAGCATAACAGTTGTTTTTGCCACTAATTTTGGGGTAGCTTCTTATGTATCATGAGAAACAACCATAAGCAATGTGACTTAATCTCTACCTCTGAGAAATGAAGATAAATATTCCTTTCTGTTAAACTGTTTATAAAGTTTAAAGGAAATAAATATGAAACGTATTTAGCACAGTACTACCAAATAAACATTAACTGGTGGTGCCATCAGACAGAGTAGATCAGACTGCCTTTTATATAGGCAACCTCAAAGTTATTATAGACTCAGTGATAAGTGAGAAATTATGACACAAATCAATTCCTGCTACAATATAGTTTATCAAAGCACTCTCTTTGAAAACCGTTATCTTCACTGCCCAGTAAGACATTTAATATTTCTTCAATGAGAAAAGCAGATGTGAGAAATTAAAAATATTTTCATATCTCATTCTAAAGTATTAAACTGTGAAAAAAGTATACTTGGCTAGTATTTAAATACAACAATTCAAACGTGACAGACTTTAAAAAGCATTGCACTCCATGGGCTGGAGAGATGGCTCAGAGGTTAAGAGCACCGACTGCTCTTCCAGAGGTCCTGAGTTCAATTCCCAGCAACCACATGGTGGCTCACAACCATCTGTTATGAGATCAAGTGCCCTTTTCTGGTGTGTAGATGTACATGGAAGCAGAATGTTGTATACATAATAAATAAATAAATTTTAAAAAAAAAGCATTGCACTCCTATATCATGCAAAAGGAAATTTTTCTGTTACAGTCTTGTGCCAACAGAGAATTAAGATAAGGCTCTCTGTTGTTTGGGGCTGTTTAAATAACAAATAATCTTACTATTTTAGGATTACTAGAAAGCTATGTGTGCATTATGTGAGCGTGGGTTTGCCCATGCAACATGCATATGGTCAGGGGGCAACATTTCAGAGTCAATTCTCTCTTCCACCTTTATATATGTTACAATGGAGCTCAGGTAGCCAGGTTTCGGTGAGCTATCATATCAATAGAACATTACATTAATTTTAAGCTTAAACACAGTTTATTTTTTTCCTTAAGGCAAACACACAAATAGTATATAGCAAGGACAACTAAAAAAGACTGTCTTAAAACTTTATTGAAAGCTGGCATAAATTTGTGTAAATTTTAATATTCTGACAAAGCCCTCTTCTAGAAGCCATACCACCTAGCTGCTGCACTGCTGCCAATGTACAAAGCCCTTAAGGTCCTTACCTCTTCATTAATATCAATGATATCCCCCACTGTCAGCTCCAGTTCATCCTCATTTTGTGGAATGTAGTCAAAAAGAACTTTACACTGACGCTTTTTTGTCTCTAGAAGAAATCATTTTTAAACATATGTTAAGAAAGATCACTTTTCTAAATAGCCCCCTTATTAACATGCCACAATTATAGTTACAGGATGTGTAAAAAAAATGGAAGTATTTAAACAGGTACTCACAAACAGCACTGGGTGATTTTTTTTTTTTTTTTAAACACTTCTCCCACAACATAATATGTTCATCCCATATAAAGTGTAAGCCTTCTGGTCATAGAAAACATGGATATACCTGATCCCTTCAATTACACAAAAGCAAAATATTCCCAACCAACTTTTAAGACTACAAAGACATTTTGACAATAAAATTATTGTAGGCAAGCTCCTCCCAGTGGTAATTTTCAGATTACTTCTTGATCAAAGCCTAGGAATATTAACTTTTAAGTAACTGATGAAGGGAAGGCAAGATGGCTAAACAGAAGCATCCAGCATTCACATGCTACTTCCACAAAAGAAGGGTGGGAGGAAGAAACAGGGAGGAAGCAGGCTAGTGACAGGTAACAGATGTACAGCTGCATGGTAAGATGACAAACTGGCATTCAACCACAGAAAAATGAAAGTAGTGTTGTAAAGTCAAGAGCCCTGGGACAGCTGCATAGTAAAAGAAAAAAAAAAAATTCCAACACTCATGTCCTTAGCTCAGCAGTTGAGACCCTTTCCCTTCTGCTAGGATAAAGGAGAAGGAGAATTAGAAAACTATCAGCACAGACAAGACACTGACACTCCTACCTACTTGGAAATTTCACAACCTTGGGAGCTTAATTTCTAAATAGTGTTAGGAAAAGGATTTCATCTCTCAGCAATTCCCCAGGATGCAGTAACCCAGAGGCTTCTTGGAAGGTGACTGAATTTGGAATGCCATGTTTCAGAGGGTCAGACTTGACTCAGCAGAGAGACACTGACTGATACAAACCCACCAATAGAGCTATACTGTGAGAATTCAGTATGAGGGAGGCAGAGTGAAGTGCAAGGTGTTAGCCACAAAAACCATACTGATCAGAGGACCTGTCAATTGAGATGAGTGTGTAGATCCTGCTCCGCTCTCAGTTCCACACAGCAAGTTCCTGAATCTAACAAGATGAAGAAAAGAGCTCCAAGACTATTTTCTCAACCCACATAGGTGTTTTGGGGCAGTTTCAAGAAATGTCATTGCACCATCAGTCATAGTGCTGCCAACTGGTTCAGCTAAAGTGGGCAGAGAAATTGTGTCTGGATGTGTTCTTTCTCCTTCATTTCCATCTGCACCTTAAACTAAGAAGAATTCTGCAAAGCTCCAGCTGCAACCATTCTTGCAATACTGGTAGGTAGATAGTACAACTGATTTTTCAAAGGAAGATAAGCCCATTCCAAGCAAGCATGTACACCAGGGGAGATGGGATCTGAGGTCCCACTCCTGGACGGGCATGATTACAGCAGCAGAACAGAGGAATACCATTTCTCTTCCATCACAACTAACATGTGTCCTCTGTATCAGTCTTCACAATATCTTATACAATCATACACTCCTATTAAGACTAAGTATCAGTCTTAGGGAGTGCTGATTTCTCTTCTAACCTTCCTAGGACACCACTGGACTTGTACCAATGCCTACTCAAAGAATAAATGTTTTAGTCAAGATCCCCTGAGAAAATTGAGAGCACAGAAAGAGGGGGAGGGAGCTAGGAGAATGAGAAGGGAAGAAGAGGAAGGATGCAGAGGTCATGAGGTTGAGTCAGGGGAAGAATAGAAGAAAGGATATGTGATAGGTAGGGTTTTAGTTGGGGTGTGGTAGGGGAGGACGGGAGGGAGAAGGGAACTGGGATTGTCATGTAAATCAATCTTGTTTTTAATTCAAATAAAAAAATGATAAAAAAAGAACAAATGTTTTAGACCCTACATGAATACTAGAGCTACAGATTCAAATAACAGAGGTAATATAAACAGTGCCTGAGGAAACCTCCATTATCAATAAAGACTACCTCTCCAATTTTAGATACTCTACCACACAAGGCCTGGACTGCTACAGTTTCTCTAGTCTTGTGTCTTCAGCAAAAGTGGGTCTCTCCAACTCCAATACTAAGCATGGGTTATGCCCAAACTCAATAATCGAACCCAAAGAAACTCTAAGGAGTAAAGTGACAATATTATAATAACCAGCTAGAAATAAACTCAATTCTGCATCACAAACTATTACTCCAAGATTTACCTTCACTGAAACAGGGAAGATACTCATTTTACCAGACATGCAAATCTCAATAGAAATAAATAAAAAGTATGAAAAGGATAAACAGCAATCCTAAAAAAAAAAAGCAAAATTCTGCAATAACAGATTCAAATTATACTGAACAAAATGAAATTCCAGATAGAGAATTTGATAGTGTTTTGTCATTGTTGTTTTAAAGTTTAACGAGATCCAAAGAAATATAGATGGAATGATTAAGCAAACTGGAAAAACAAGGGAATACAGGAAAGAGAAATTCACTAAAAAGAGATTTTTTTAAAGCACTAATAGGAATCCAGGAAATGGTGCTCAGTAAATCAAACAGAATTCATCCAAAAAAACCTCAACAGCAGACTTAGTTAAGCAAAAAAAAAAAAAAAAAAAAAAAAAAAACACCACAGCTTAAAGACCTCTTTTTGGAAGTACCACATTTATATAAAAATACAAAAATAAGAATGAAAAGGCAATGAAAGACTGGGGGAAGATCAAACATGCATGTCATCAACATATTCAAAATTTAAAAAGCACAAAGCAAACCAAATGAAATAGCATAAAATTCCCCTAATTTTGTGAAAGGCATGTACATCAGGAACAGAATTGCTATATAACCCCCAAAAGCCAAAAAATAGCCTTTCTACAATGTATGGTACGAAAGCTGTCAAAAAGACAGCACAAGAAAGACTTAAAGCCCACATGAGAAAATGCCAGATCACTTTACGGATAACCCTATTGGACTAATGATAGATTTATCAACAGAAACCCGAAGGCCAGACAGGTATGGTAGGTATGGTGGGTGAGCAGAGGGAGGATCAAGAGTTCAAAGGTGGGCAAGAACATTGAAGATCTGTCTCAAACTAAATAAACAGTAAGTATCAGAAGGACATCACATGAAATAGGCTTTAATACAGTAACAGCAGGGACAATTTCAACACCCCACAGTCATCAATGCAGAAATCATCCAGTCACAAACCAGAAGACAGAACTGGAAGCACACTGCTGTTCTCAAGACAGAACTAGAGAAAACTGAAGTAGACTCTTGTCTCAATGTCTTCCCCTCCTTCAATGCAGGTTAGCCGCTAATGGCTTTGGGAGTGGATACAAGTCCTCTGGTCTCTTCTGTACCAGGGAGATCCTCAGGGTTGAATCTCTTCCCTTTTTCTTTGAAAATCAATAATGCTGAAGGCCAGCAAGATGGCTCAACAGGTAAAGGTACTTGTCACCAAGCCTGACAACTATAGTTTGATC